GGTCCTCTAGGTACCGCGCTCCCCTCCCCTCCTCAGCCCACCCTCCCTCCCCCCAATCCACTGTGAGTGATGGGGTCTGAGTAGCTCATAACTTTGCTCAGGTTCCTTTTCGCCTTCTACAGGGCCTGAGCCACTTTGTCCCAGTCACAAGCCTGCCTTAAACAGAAGTTCCACCCCGGAGCTCACTCCAGGGTGGGGTTCGGTTGGCTTGATTATTTATTACCTTGTTAAGGTTGTTAATCCTGACTATTTAAGGAAAAGGGCAAGTCGTAGTAGGTTTCCACTTAGTTTTCAAGCACAAATTGTAGTGCCCTGGGAATTATATTATGCTAACTCTATTTCAACACGGGTTCTTATTTCTCCCCCTTTATTGAAGGGACAATTATTTTCTAGCCGGATGGTTCCAGTCTGGTTTAATAACTACGAAAGGTGGAAAGTTCTGTAAAAAAATAAAATGATCTTCTTAAAAAGAATCAAAGACTGAGAGAGTTTTCAGCTGTTGCATGTCTTCTCTAGCTGGTAGGAGAAACCATCAACGAGAGGAAAAAACTCTGTGGATTGCTGCCTGTGACTTTCTTTTCAGATTACCTGCTCAAACAGCCTGACCCAAGGGCACCTAGCTGATAGCCACAGTCAAGTATCCTTGCCATGCCTAAGCCAAGGAAGTTGAACTAGAAGGATTTATAAACTATATAAAACTACTCAGTTCTATGTGTCGCCTGGGATTCTGCTTTTTTATTGTTTGTTTTGTTTTGCTGTTTTTTGTATCTAGAATGGTTAGAATACACAAGAGCCTATTTCTTGTTGTATCCAATCCTCCTCAGCTACTGAAGTACATTTAATTTCTCCAGCTCAGAAAGTGCAGATGTCAATGTTTTCTTGGTTACACTCTCAACACCTGTGTTATGTAGTTTACTCGGTGCTCATTCAAAATCCATTGGAACTTGGAAAATCAAAATGCTCGTTAAAAAAATAGTTTTAAAAGTCGTCTTCCAAGTCTTCAGCCCTCTGCTGAACAGTGTAGAAGACAAAAGAAAACTGGACCAAACTGAAACCTTTGTAGTCCAATATGGCACTGTCTGGAATGTTGTTGTTGTTTGTTTTTGTTAACTTGGCACAAACTGGAGTTATCTGAGAAGAAGTCTCCATAAGATGGCCTGTAGGCTAGTCTGTTGGGAATTGTTTGGTTAATGATTGATGTGGTTGTGCCACCTCTGGGCACATAGTCTGAATACATAGAAAAACAAAAGGAGCAAACCATGGGAAGCAAGGCAGTAAGCAATGTTCCTCCATGACTTCTGTGTTAGTTGCCACCTCCAGATTCCTGCCCTGACTTCCTTTGATGATGGCCTGTGATGTGCAAGTGTAATGTGAAATAAGCCCTGTCCTCCCCTAGTTGCTGAGTGTCATGGTATTTTACCACAGCAGCGGAAAACTAAGACAGGCACATGCTACTTAGGAGTAAGAATTAAAACAGCCAATAACTAGTGTACAATCACATATCAAGCTGTACACACGAGACTAACACTAAATTTAAAAAGCAAAATTAGTTTAACAGTGGAAGGTTGATTTTTCTTCTGTTGAATGAACGTAGGTTGGAAGTGCTAGCTGTTAGAGAATACTGCAGAAGACCCAGCTGTCTTTAATTCAATTCTACTTCTAGCCCTTATATCCTAAGAGAGGGCATTCTGAACTATCAACAGATCCACCACCATAGTGTGGTTCATTCTCCCTTACAATATATATATATATATATATATATATATATATATATATATATTTTCTTGATACAGGATCAGCAAATCTCTGTGCCCTTCTGGTGACTTCCTCCCACCCTTCTGTCTGATTCAGGCTGCAGGAAGGAATCCAGTTCTCACAATTTTATCTGATGGATCTTTGGTCTACAACTGCGCAGTCACCCCCTGCTCATCTGAGGAACTCAGGGCCTTTCCTCCACGCCTCTTCTCCCTGGATGGCCCAAAGGCAATAGTTTACTTATTCTGCTGATTAAGGTGACAAGAGCGAAAAGAGACTATTTCAGGGCGTAAAATGGCCAAAAGGATTAAACACAGCTGAAAAGACAAGTGAAATGGAACATGGAAGAGAGCCATTGGCTTTCGTTTCTGAGGTACCATTCCAGGGGTGGGAGGAGTTAGCTGCAGTCAGGACTGGGAGAGAGGGGGAATGGACAGTGGGCAAAGGCAGCTCTTTGGGTATTTGTAAAAAGAGGAGAAAAGCCAGTGATAATGACCTAGAGGAACTTGGATCCTAAAGGAAAGACTTCCTTCTAGCTGGCAGAGGCATGCTATTTTGGGGGGAGGATGATGTCATACACAAGTTGTACTAAGGCAGTAGTGGGGTGAAGGTCCTGGGTCCAGGAAGCAGGTGCCGTGTTGGTTCTGAAACCAAAGAGTGTGAGGTAAGGACAGAGGAAGGATACAACTGGACTAATTCTTTCTGGCTAGAGCTAGTGACACATACTGTAGCCTCGGCCATTGGAGAGGCAGGTATAGAGTGGGCCCTGAGGCCAGGCATTCCTTTCTGTGTGGAAAAGGGCAATTTAAACAGCCTAGGAGAAGGAAGGAATGGTATCAGTGGACTGAAGTGGGAATTCGAGGGGTTGGGGAGAGGGTGCCTGTCGGGAATACATGAAGGGATACCAGGGAGCCATGCAACTCAGGCTTGGGATAGCCCCATTTTAAGGAGGTTTTATGGATAAATGTATCAGAAAAGAGAATGTTCAACATCTTAGATTCCCGCTGAGGGGCAGCTGAAGGGATGGGTTTTAGTATTTAAGAAAACAGTAAAGAAAGCCCAGCCAAGCTGGTGGTTCAGAGGAAGACGAAGAAGGTTCTGCTGGGCTGGCAGGCCTAGTGAAGTTAATGGGCAAGAAAGATGAGAAAAATTGCCCGTCTGAGATGGGATATTGAAGACTAAGGTAAAGTGGTGCTGAGCTCCATGTCTGCAAATCCAACCAAGTTTAACTGGTAAACATTAAAGGAAAATGATTTTTGTGTGTGCTGAATATGTTCAGACATTTCTCATGTCCTTCCCTAGACAATATAGGACATTTGTTGTATTGCAAGAAATTTAGAGGTGGTTTAAGGTATTCAGCTGGCTGTGTGTATATGTTATATGCTAATACTATGCCAGTTTATGTTGGGTACTTAAGCATCTGCAGACCTTGGCATCCTTCAGGGTTCCTGGAACCAATGTACTTAGGATTTGAAGGGATGGCTGAATATGTACTATTTCCTTTACCAGCTCATGAATTCAGAGCAGCTAGGAACTGATACATACCATGTAGCCCTCAGAACTCATTGGCTGATAAGGGTCTTCTGGTCTTGGATCTTTCCTTTTATTATACATGTTATCATGATTTATTAAAAGATACTTGGACGGCTAATCACTGAGCTGAACTCCTGGAATCCAGTTGTAGAGAGGGAAGAGAGCAAAGGGGTCAAGACCAGACTGGAGAAACCCACAGAAACAGCTGACCTGACCAAGTGGGAGCTCATGGACTCCAGTATGACAGCTGGGGAACCAGCATAGGACCGAACCAGGCCCTCTGAATGTGGGTGTCAGTTGGGAGGCCTGGGCACTCTATGGGGCCTCTGGTAGTGGATCAGTATTTTTCCCTGGTGCAAGAAGGGACTTTGAGAGTCCATCCCACGTAAAGGGATGCTCTCTCTGCCTGGACACATGGGGGAGGGCCTAGGCCCAGCCCAGAATGATATTGTGGAATTTGGGGAGCCCCCATGGAGGGTAGGGCCCTCCATGGGGAGCAAAGTGGGGAGGGGGCTGCTGGGGGCTTGGGGGGAAGGGGAGGGAGAGGGAGAAGGGATTGACATGTGAAGCAAG